CTTAGAGAGGGCGGGCGCGGCAAATTGTCTCAGCCGCGCCGCTCCCCACTGACGCGTACATTTTATTACATTCGTTAACGCATATTAGATGAATGCGTAAATACTTTAAATTTGCATGAAAATTGGTAGAAGATTAGAATAGTACTTGAGTTGCCAACAGCAAAGGGTTGAGGAATCGCTGGGTATTTTTAAAAACAAAAGCAGTTTAATTTTGACTAAAACTTTTATAGCATTTCAATTATTTTATTCTAATGTATAAAACTGGGAAAGCGTAAAATTTAGAAAAATATGAATCCAAAAAAAAAGACTCTGAAAGATTTTTCTACTTGCTTCTGTTTTTTTTTTTACTTCAAATAATAATGGCAGTATAGCGTCTGATTTGTGCACTTGTTTCATATCTAGCTTTTGTCCGGGAATCCGCTCTAAAATAAAAAAAAAACAAACGTTTCCGTTTCGGAGATACCTTCTAACAAATACACGAACGTCCATCCATCGAAACTTTTACAATTATTTACCTCATTAATATTTTAATTTATGTTTTAATGCATAATAACATAAGCATTTCTTTATCGTTTTCCAGGTTGTGTTTACAAAGGCCGAGACGGTGGCGGGGGATGATCCCACCCCTTACCTGCGCGGAGTGGCCATCAATTCACATCCCCGCCCGACGTATGCGGCCCCGAGTGACATGCTCCCTACAACGCGAGCGCCATTACTGTTTCCTTCATTGTTCAACAAGCGGTATACACCAGTATCGAAACAATTTTTATAGTTTCTTGATGAATTAAAAATGATAGTCACTCGTGTTGTATGACTCATTAATTTTCGTGCATCCAGTATTAACAGAAGGCACTAACTTTTTGACCGACTTCTCAAAAGAAGGACATCAAAGTAATAATAATTGTACAATATAGGCATAACAGCTACAATAACCGAGGTTTACAAATTCAAGGAATTATTTCGTTACTTTTTAGTGTATTGTTTATTTTTAGAATATTTTGCAATTGTTTGTTTTTTTTTCAAAGACCGAAATTGGTCTACGTTGGTACAGTGAAGGATTTTTTAAATAAGTTGTACATATGAAATATGTCTAACAATGAGAAAAAAATGGTACTTTTATGTATATAGAAGCTACTTGCAGCAAAATTCATAAAAAACTTTAGACAATACTTTTCTTTTAGTATGTGAAAATTTTTATACTAAAATGTTAATGTGTGTTTAAAATAAGAGAGATTTTAAAAAATATACATACATATTAAAAAAGATTTAGAAGAGGTTTTCCGCGCAGGATTCCGATCCACCCCCCGCGCCAGTCGTTAATCAGGATTTTGGACGGGCCAAGCTAAAATTTTAGACGTTTTAAGCTGCGCGTAAATTTTGCAAAACATGACACGATGGGAAAAAAATCCGACCGAAAGTTACCTACTCCAAATATTTGCAGGCTTTTGTACGTCGAGCTCTGAACACATTGGATACGAAATACACTTTTATGTCTGTTTTTCGTTGTTGACTGTTTGTTAACTGTTATAAAAATGACTTATTAAAAATGTTTATAAAGTCTAATACTAAAGATACATTTTTAAAGTCTACAATTGTTATAAAATAATATTAGAACAAACCAGAAGTTAGTAGTTTTATTGTCTACTGAAAATTAAAAATGTTTTTTTTATTATTAATTTCCTTGTCTTTAAATTACCAACAACAACTTTCAATGTATTCTAGTAATAGAAACGGTTTGTTTTTCTAAACAAAAACTTACAAAACATACGGAGAAGACCTCGTGACCTGTTCGGATATTCCGGCATATCTTTCAAGAGCATCGCGGCTTACGCGGAAGCTTACAGCGGCGCATGCGCAGCTATTTGTCGCCGAAATGAACTTTCACACTATACATATTAATTTTATTTTACAACGCGCCGAATGCAGCCGGACTGTTCGAGCTAATCCTTACTTTTTTTATTCTACATCCAATTTATTTCCGTAACACTTTGTTATATGTCACCATTAGGACGGGTATGCGAGGGTTGCACCGTACAAACTATTTTGGGTTCAAACATTACATTAACGCGAGTAGGTTATGCATGTACTTATGTATGTTTGCAAGGACAGCGTGTTCGAAATAACAGACCCAACTGGATTGCATAGCTATACGCTTTAAGATTGAAGCAGGTGGATTTCTATCAATGTGGTTTAAAAATAAACTTAGAAACAAATGACTACCGTAATAAATGAGACTATATGCATCTTGAAGAGAGAACTAACATTTAATGTTCATTCACACTGGCGCTTTTTTAACGCTTTAGACTCGGCGTTGGCGATGGTAGAACGCTGTAAAATCGCCCTTGTTTCGTTTGCTCAGACCAACATTGTACGATAAAAAACCCTTCCGCTTTACAACCGCTTCACTAACTAAACA